ACTTTAGTACAGTAGTTTACGTCCTTTTAACATTGCACTGCCCAAGACTTAATCACTTAAAATGTTATCGCTCGTAGTCTTCATGTGGGCAGACTTTTCGATTCTAGCCACGGAACTCTGGAAAATTCCACCACTTCCTCTGCTAGGAAAGGGGGAACACAAACACCACAATATTAAACTCCACTGTTAAACTCTTTTTTATTTACTCCCCCATGTTGGACCCAGGAGTGCTGAGTTCTAGCTTGAGTTGGCGGAGTTTGTGTACCCACTCTCCCTTTGTTGCGGTTTATGCCTGGTACCGGGCCTCTTGTTGTTTTGCTATTTTTATTTTATCAGGTAAGGCCCACTGAGATATATAGCTCTTTTTTCAGAATGATAGCTCAACGAACAACGAAGTGGCTTATCATGGGAAAATGTGTGAGCCACATACTGGAAGCGCACGGTTCTAAATGTGGAGGGACAAACCGGAGAACCCGGAGAAAAATCCACGTCAAAACAACACATCTGGAGGATGATAATTGATCATAAGTAAAAATTTTACTTAAAATTTTCGTGACTGCGGGAATTGAAGTGGAGTTTCCGCTACAGCATTCTTTTTTGGCATTAGTCTTGTCTATGAATGTTTAATTTTAGATTTGCGTACATTCCGTCATGCACGTAGCTGCAGTTTTCAAGAGTCAATAGCTTAGCTGTGTTGTCAGATGCGTGGCACCCACGCTGAGTATGGGAAGCTGATGAGCCCTTAAATGAGTGAAACATGACTCTCCTATCATGCAGGCTGTCTACTTCACTTGATGGAAGCACTGTTGGCCTGGATATTGGGGCATGTTGTCAAAGAGTAACGCCCACTTTTACTTTAAATTAACAGTTATATATTTATATTGATCTGGAATTGCTGGGGTGATTAGTGCACTTCGCTTTGAACCACGTGTCCTGATTTCAATGCCCGGCTATAACCAACAACAGTGGCAAGGTAATATCTACTTGAACTATCTTCTTGTTTCTTTCGGTAAAGTCACGTAGAAGGGAAGTAATAAAATAATAAAAATAAAACATAATAAAACAATTCTCACCACTTTCCCTTCTACGTGACTTTACCGAAAGAAACAAGAAGATGAATCCCTGCAGTCACGAAAGCTTTAAATCGAAATCTACTTGAACTAGTCCAGCACAACTCCGTCAACCTTCAACTCACTCACTCACCCTGACCAGTTTGGTGCAGTATGGTCAAACAATCCCCATGACTGCCATGACCATTTATCTAGCAGCATGTTGACGAACGTCTGGCTGTATATTATTAACCGTAATGTTTTATTAGGACTGTTAACATTTAACTTGTAAATCACTGTACAAACCAGTGGAAAATTCCACTTAAGGGCATTTTATGCAACCGGCTACCAGGTTAGAAATTCATTGCCAAACATATCCCTGCTTATAGAAGGAAAACCTCCGCTTCTGGCAACATGAAAAGGGCATCCCTATTTGTGCTTTGAAAAAGGACGCATTGGCCGAAACGTCGCATGTTATGTACTCTCCCTTTCGAGGCAGCGTTATTGGCGAATGCGTGTAGCGCTAAATCGTCAAATTTGTAAACATCGCAGAGAAAAGGTTTCACATGGAGAGGTGAAACCTTTGATCTGGTATGTAGAACTGCAACCCACAGTGAGCCGTCGCCGGTGTTCCATGACGTCACCCCGTTCCGCAACACATGAGCACAACGTGTCCTCAAGAGGACGTCCGCGGTGGAGATGGAGCGATTAGATCAGCTCACGTGCAGGTACTATGGGTGAGTTATTACACAACGGGACCGTGAGAGATGGCGGCAGCTTGGGGGAGCCCATCATCCAGCAGTGGATTCTATTCTTGCGTATGATGGAAATATATTCAGGAGCTAAATGCCAACGCGAGGTTTTGCTGGCCACGATAGGGCTTCCAGGAGTGAGTTCGTGTAGTTTTGCGATTCCACTTCCGTTGAAGTTGAGGGCACATTACAGTGGTTCATCATATGGTCCACAGTTTGGGTTGCACGGTCACAGTCGCACTGTGGCTTGTCTCTAATGTTCCATTCATGAAGGAGATGTTGCACATCGGTCTGTTGATGTTCTGATGGGGTTGATGGTTACATCGGTGTCTTCGAGTAATGTCAAAGCCAGGAGATGCGAGAATTGTTGTTGTTCAGCTCTGTTCACCAGCCTTCTTCCGGATCTGGGTGAGAGTCTAGAAAGATGATAGCAGCAGCAGCAGCGCGATCCGAGGAGACGCATCGAGACTTGAGTCGACGGCGAGGAATATTGTTGAGGTCTTATTTCAAGGTTGGGTGGTTATCGTCGCATACAAGCCATGCAAACTCCTTTTGCAAGTTTGCATTTCTGCGGCAGAAGCCAGGGGATTGGTATCAGTTTCAGATATTGTGTGGTGCTTTGAGCAGTTTTGTGTATGAACTCCCGGACTAGGCTGGCACGCCGGTACTCTGTCCAATGACGAGACCAGTGATAATGTGGAAAGTTGGTAGCGCATCAGCTGACGTGCTCTCGGTCGATCCTGCAAATTACTCTCGCAGGGCGATTCTTGATTTTTATTTCGTTCACAGATCTGTGGGGCTTGAAGGTCCATGATGACCCCGAGATTTCTTGGAGTGGGGTAATAAGCACACTTGGCTTCCACCGAAGGACACATCAAGGGTGGCATCTGCTGGATAATTGTTTAAGTGAAACGTACTTGCTGTGGTTTTGGAAGGATTTGGTCGGAGCACTGGATTGACTGTGACAGCACGTCAGATTCGGAGTAACGTTCTGGTTGAAGGATCGCTCCATCTCCTCGGCCATACGTACTTTTGGATGCCTTCTATTCTTTGGCTGCCATTCCGTTCCAATTTCTAGTTCGAACCGTTGTCTACGATCCCTTCCAGCGACGTCTCCTGCCAAAGATTGTTACCCTGATCGGTTTGAATATTTAAATATACTGTACATCTGCAATGCGAGTGTTTCTCTTTGTTTCAATGTAATTACAAGAGTTAATCTCTCCTTCTTTATTTGCGGACTTTTCATTTTGAGTTCCTCTGCGATTGACCACGTTTTTTTAAACCCCAAGTCTTGTGCGTGAGCAATCAATCATTTTTGTTGCATGCAAGTTGTGCGAAGCTGCTGCGTGGATATGGTGATGGCAGCAGAGGGCAGTGCCGCAAACTCCCATTTCTCCCTTTGGACTTCTATGCTCCCACGTCCATGCTCCTCGCGTTCACCACCCCGCACTGACCGGCGCGGTGAAGTATGGTCATATAATCCCCATGCAAGCATTGGGTGTCTCTCTCAACCAGCAATGCCGTACATGTGCATACGCATACATCTTCATGTATGGAAATCATTACGCGATTACCGTATACACTGCAGCCCCCCCCCATCCCCCCAGATAATATAACCTTGAATGGAATCGTGATCAGTGTGACAATTTAATTATTGGAGTCAAAGGTGACACGTGGAGTGACCTCTACACCGTCCCCTTCCAACATACTCAACATGTTCTTCTGTAGCACTGCCTTCATAGAGAAATGCAATAGGCGGCGTTGCGTCCAATGATCCTAATTCTACATAGCACAAGTGCGCACACTTAGGGGCCGTCCATAAATGACGTCACGAACCTGGAGGGGGGGGGTCAGACATTTGTGACGATGTGTGACGAGGGGGGGGGGGGGGTGAGAAATGTGACGTCACATCAAAATGCGCAACTTTAAATAAATATAGACAACACGTTCTACTTAATTAAATAGACTTTTTAATAAATGTTTTCTCCTACAACATCAGAGTGCAGCGCCACATTAAATACGCACGACAATGACAATAGTTTAAAGCGATTTGAAGCATGATTTCTTTTCTAAATGGCAATATGGTTTTGGGGTGGGGGGGCAGAGCTTTGTGACGTCATATTTGAGGGGGGGGGGTCTGACTTTTGTGACGCCGTGTGACGAGGGGGGGGGGGGTCAAAAATCGTCTAAAATCGCGTGACGTCATTTATGGACGGCCCCTTACAAGAGCGACAAGTGCGCGTGAACAACGTCACGAAGCAGGCCGCAGGATTGGCGACCGTTGCGCTAACCGCAACGCCACCGCTCCCCTCCACGCCCCCTCTACGCCCCTCGCCCCTCCCCCCCTGTCCCTCCCCCCTGTCCCTCGCCCCTCCCCCTGCCCCTCGCCCCTCCCCTCCTGCCCCTCCCCCCTGTCCCTCGCCCCTCCCCCTCCTGCCCCTCGCCCCTCCCCCCTGTCCTTCGCCCCTCCCCCCCTGTCCCTCACCCCTCCCCCTCCTGCCCCTCCCCCTCCTGCCCCTCCCCCTCCTGCCCCTCGCCCCTCCCCCTCCTGTCCCTCGCCCCTCCCCCCTGCCCCTCGCCCCTCCCCCCCTGTCCCTCGCCCCTCCCCCCCTGTCCCTCGCCCCTCCCCCTGCCCCTCGCCCCTCCCCCCCTGTCCCTCGCCCCTCCCTCTCCTGCTCCTCGCCCCTCCCCCCCTGCCCCTCGCCCCTCCCCCCTGTCCCTCGCCCCTCCCCCTCCTGCCCCTCCCCCCTGCCCCTCGCCCCTCCCCCCTGTCCCACGCCCCTCCCCCTCCTGTCCCTCGCCCCTCCCCCTGCCCCTCCCCCCCTGCCCCTCCCCCTCCTGTCCCTCGCCCCTGCCCCTCCCCCTCCTGCCCCTCCCCCTCCTGTCCCTCGCCCCTCCCCCTCCTGCCCCTCGCCCATCCCCCTGTCCCTCACCCCTCCCCCCCTGTCCCTCGCCCCTCCCCCCTGCCCCTCGCCCCTCCCCCCTGTCCCTCGCCCCTCCCCCCTGTCCCTCACCCCTCCCCCTCCTGCCCCTCGCCCCTCCCCCCCTGTCCCTCGCCCCTCCCCCCCTGTCCCTCGCCCCTCCCCCCTGTCCCTCGCCCCTGCCCCTCCCCCCTGTCCCTCGCCCCTCCCCCGTGCCCCTCGCCCCCCCCTGCCCCTCGCCCCTCCCCCCTGCCCCCCCCCCCCACCACCGTCACCCCCGTTGCACCGCGGGGAGTGATGGCCGCGTCCCGGCGCGCATTCGGGCCACGCTCGTTGCGCCGCCACGCGCCTCCTCCTCCCCCCCCGCCCGAGTGAAGAGCGACTCGGCTGGTCGTCGTCGTCGTCGTCACCACACGGTGCGGCCCACACGGCGCGGGCCTCCGAGGCGGACTCGTTCACATCTAGCGTCAACACCCCGGGAGGAGGACGAGGAGCGGGGTGGTTGCCTCCTGACGGACCGCGACTCGTTGCTTTTCTTTCCACATTTTATTCATTTGCTACGCTCTGCCACCGAGCGAAGAGCCTCATTCTCCCTGACGGGTTATCACTGTTGTGTTTTTTTAATATCATAATTATTTTGTAGAATAAGTGAGAGGCCGAGGATTGGTGTTGGTGGTGGTGGTGGTTCGGGCGAGGGATGCGAGATACCTCCGGTGGCTTCTGCTGCTGCTGCTTCTGCTGAAGGTTCCCCGCGTCCTGAGCCGAGTAGCAGGTGAGGAGGCCCCGGGCCGATGGATGAGGTCAATCTGGAGATTGCTGACGGTCGTGCTGTTTGGTATTGGTGGTGATCGTGACAACCAACCAGCCGTAACATCACCAGTATCGTCGTCATCACCAGTGTCACCCATCAACCATCACCAGTGTCACCCATCAACCATCACCAGTGCCACCCATCAACCATCACCAGTGCCACCCATGAACCATCACCAGTGCCACCCATCAACCATCACCAGTGCCACCCATCAACCATCACCAGTGTCACCCATCAACCATCACCAGTGCCACCCATCAACCATCACCAGTGCTACCCATCAACCATCACTAGTGTCACCCATCAACCATCACCAGTGTCACCCATCAACCATCACCAATGTCACCCATCAACCATCACCAGTGCCACCCATCAACCATCACCAGTGCCACCCATCAACCATCACCAGTGCCACCCATCAACCATCACCAGTGCCACCCATCAAACATCACCAGTGCCACCCATCAACCATCACCAGTGTCACCCATCAACCATCACCAGTGTCAACCATCAACCATCACCAGTGTCAACCATCAACCATCACCAGTGCCACCCATCAACCATCACCAGTGCCACCCATCAACCATCACCAGTGCCACCCATCAACCATCACCAGTGTCACCCATCAACCATCACCAGTGTCACTCATCAACCATTACCAGTGTCACTTATCAACCATCACCAGTGCCACCCATCAACCATCACCAGTGTCACCCATCAACCATCACCAGTGTCACCCATCAACCATCACCAGTGTCAACCATCACCAGTGCCACCCATCAACCATCACCAGTGTCGCCCATCAACCATCACCAGTGTCAACCATCACCAGTGTCACTCATCAACCATCACCAGTGTCACCCATCAACCATCATTAGTGTCACCCATCAACCATCACCAGTGTCAACCATCACCAGTGCCACCCATCAACCATCACCAGTGCCACCCATCAACCATCACCAGTGCCACCCATCAACCATCACCAGTGTCAACCATCACCAGTGTCACCCATCAACCATCACCAGTGTCACCCATCAACCATCGCCAGTGCCACCCATCAACCATCACCAGTGTCACCCATCAACCATCACCAGTGCCACCCATCAACCATCACCCCCACGAACACAACCCACTGACAGATTTACCCAACGCCCTTTGAACCGCAACAACGCTATCATATCACCGTCATGATTTTTCATTACCAATCACCGCCAGCGATCGATCACCGTCGGCTCCTAAGCGCAATTGGCAACACCTCATTATCACTGCCATCACGAGCAGCACCACCAGCAGCACAATCATCAGCGCCACCGCCACTTATCATCACAATCCAGCAGCAATATAACCAAACATTGCTGTCACAATGATTAGTAGCCCAGCACCGTCACCACTGACTGCCATGAGCTTCACCAGTACTACTGCCAATAGTCACCACCACCAGACTATCGATTAACAACATCACTAGCAACACCAATACCTGGTGACCACCAATACCAACGTCACTCTTGAAAAACATGCTGCCATCACCATTAACATCGTCAATAACACCACGATCATTCATCACTTCAAGCTCTGCCATCGGCAAATTGGCCAGCTTGCTGACCGCCAGATTGTGTGTCTCTGCAATGTCATTGCCACAATTGTTTTTGTGATGTGCTCTTCATTTTACTCGCCTGTATTGTCAACATCGCCCAGTGTCAGTGATGGTTTTGAGTGTAAAATGCTACATCTGGGAAATAAAGAGCCCTGGTGTATTCGGTGACGTTGAAAATAACGAGACAGCTGCTGTGCAAAGGTTTCCATTTACTGCCAGTAGAATAAAAGTTGCCTGCTGGAAGAAGCTTGTTAAGGTTATTCATAATAATGTGTTTCTGTTTGGGTTAGATCGTGGAAATGTGTCGTTAACCCACCATCACCAGAAACAGTGAATTAGTAAGATGTGTCACGTGAATAAGACGTGCCAATTAGTTACTATTTCAGCTCACGTTTTCTTCACGTGATAAATCTTACTAGTTGACTGTCGGGTGGTGGTGGGTTAACGACACTTATTTTATTTACGCGATCTAAGCCAAACATCTCTTATTTGTTGTGTTTAGCTTGTTGTCCTTCCACCGCACCTTCGATGAGTACGGTTGGCTATGACGTACGGTGCGAAAGAAGTCCAAAATACATGCCACAATATTGGTCGCGAAAGCCTCCCTGTAAAACGGTGTAAGGTTCGTGGGTTAGGCATGAGTCTCTTGTTGACCGTAGCTATGTGCTGGAAGTTGCCCTTTTTATGTCGGCAGGATACAACTCTGGGACAATTCAGTCAATTGCAGCAGAATGGTCATCAGGTTGCCGACATGCCAGTAGTACTCCATGGATGTATCTACTTCCTTCCCCAGTTGACTTTTGCACCGGTAGATAACACTTGATTTAGATGTAGGGGTTGGTTCCATGTTAGCATTTTTTGACTGAAAGCAGCTGCCCAAGTTGCAGTAAAGAGACCCAAATATTTGTCAGCAATAATTTGAGCAACCCTAGATTGTCCTGGGTCACATCGCTGAATAATTATAGGTCAAAGTACGGTACATATCCAATTGTTCACATTGATGTAACTATGTCTATTAAAATGTTGTGTGCGAATTGTCATTTTACTGACCTCAGAATACAATGGTTGTATGTGGACAGATAGGCCTTTACCATTGCAAAATAAACTCTAAACCAGTGAGTGACTTGGGATCTGCAACAGAGATGAACGCCACCATACACTTGTATAACATTACGTTCTAGGCTAATTATATAGGCAAGATATATGGCGATACGATGGGTGACGCTTCTATTTATAATCGCACGCCGACTTCTGGAAATGCATGGCAGAAGCTCCTCCCGTACGAATATAAATGCACCGAGGTTATACTTTCTTCAGAGTGTTCCACCACAACGTTTTTGACTCCGTTCCAAGCTGTGGTTTTATCCACGTCATTTTAAACGAGGGTTAGGTAGCGGTGTTTGCTGAGGTCAGCGTTGGCTTCGCTTGCGTCGGTGTTGGAACGGTGGATTTGCACAATCACCAGGGTACATTCGTTGCGTTGATCTCGTGTTGTCTTGGGCGAGATCCACGTTCAAAACGATCGTGCGTTTGTGCCCACACAATCAACGAAGCGCCACCAATGTCAAAGCCAAATGTGCAGGTCTATGCATTAGCATTTCCTTAATGTAATTGCGGACGTGGTATATTCATTTGGCATTATCAACGACGTTTGCTGCAGGCTGACCTTTGAGCATTATTGAAATAGCACCTTGATGAGAAGAACAATGCCCACCGTACTGTACGTGCACTGTGTTGCAGAAGGTCATTTAATTACCCCTGAATACTGCAAAGACTTCGTGGATTGGAGTGTACATGGATATACAAGTATATCACGACAAAGCACCGTCGTTATGCAAGAAAGTGCATACAAACATACGTGCACTGTATAGTATTCTGTGTGTTTTGTTCTTTGCAGGCATCACATTGCAGGGTGCAACCATAGACGCCCATTGCTGTAAAACCATTGTTTGTTTTGATCGTTGAGTTAAATAGCACAGCTTCGTGTTTACGCGTCGTCTTGCGTTCATCATCATCATCAGCCATGCTGTTGTCCACTTCTGGACAAAGGGCTATCCAAGCCGTCATAATCTCTTATTGGCCTTGAAACACACCAGTCGGTGCACACATTCACACAGCCCGATTCTCTCGTTCCATCACCGCCGTGCATCGACTTCACCGGCTGTTTTGTTCCCTTCCTTTGGGCTGCCACTGTAATCTCAACCACTGGCTACCAAACCCGTCTTTACCAACACGGTCTACCCGTGCCACTTAATTTTCTTAACAGTCAATGTCATGTCTCTAACATGCATTTGTTCTCGAATTTATATATTTCTTTTTGACGGTGTAATGCGCATTTACTTTGTTGCATGACATTTTTGTAAGTAAACCAGTGGCCTCTGGATTGTTATTTCTGGATAATTCTGAAATGCAAATTGTTGCATCAAACATTTGTGATAGTCACAAATTCTGCCTTTAAAATTCTGTTAATTCATTTCCAGTATGTCGCACGCTGTACGAATGAAGGGTTCAATGATTCACCTCCCCTGCGATCCAATGAGTTGTCCCAATAATGTTTTTACATTGTGGTGAATGTTGTGGTCGCTATTGGTTGGACGGTTCACATGAAACCAAGGCAACATAAGGGGAAAAAAGTCACTACGCACGCAATTCAATACCATGGTATCGTATTAATCGGTGCATCGTTACAATCGGTACACAATTTGTGTATTCCTTAATAACAGTGCAAACAACAAATTAAATTGAAATTCGACATTCAGGAATTAATTGTTTAATTCGGCCGTCATAATTGTGAAACCCCCAATGCGTTGCCGAGGAGGTGGCTTCTGGTAATGCAGATTAGCTAAAGCGGAAGATACGCTGTGAATAATACAGTGTGTTAAGACTGCTCACTGCACAGCATTGCAGCGTCAACATCTCGTCAGCGGTAAGGGAAGAGACCAGCAAAAAAGCATACATACGTAAAGAGGAGGCGATTTAAAGTTTTACTTGGATGTAATGCTATAAATTAGACTGCAGTAAGATGAACACATATTAAAGCAAGCCTATAAATGTATGGGTACGTTAAGTAAAACCGTTTCACGGTATATGAATTATAGCTGATAGGGTATTTGTAAGTGTACAAGTTACATCACTTCTGTTGTGAACCACTTGACCCGGAAAATAACCAATTGTCTGTCTCGTTCATCTCCCTTTACTGTATCTGTATACATTGAATTTGATGTTCATCATATGAATCTCCTCCTTGAGGAACTGAGTAGAAGTCTGGTTTTTACTGGTAGGAACGAAGTGGACCAGACCACCAATAGATTAATGTGTCCGTCCGTCCGTCCGTGGGAGGGGTGGTGTTGAGGGTGGTGTTGGAAAT